AAAAAAAAAAAAAAAAAAAAAAAAAAAAAAAAAAAAAAAAAAAAAAAAAAAAAAAAAAAAAAAAAAAAAAAAAAAAAAAAAAAAAAAAAAAAAAAAAAAAAAAAAAAAAAAAAAAAAAAAAAAAAAAAAAAAAAAAAAAAAAAAAAAAAAAAAAAAAAAAAAAAAAAAAAAAAAAAAAAAAAAAAAAAAAAAAAAAAAAAAAAAAAAAAAAAAAAAAAAAAAAAAAAAAAAAAAAAAAAAAAAAAAAAAAAAAAAAAAAAAAAAAAAAAAAAAAAAAAAAAAAAAAAAAAAAAAAAAAAAAAAAAAAAAAAATTGGGATCCTTGCTGAAAATTGTAGTGCAAAGTAGTGGGGTCGACTTTCACTATTGCAGTGATTGTTACTAAGTGAAATGCACTATAAATAATAACGCATGTGTTCTTTCGAAAAAAAAATATATTGAAAGTCGTGGTTCGCACTACTCTGTGTATATACATATATCCGTTTGATCTATGTTCCTCAGAAAGTTTGAATCTCAACGTTGGTCTCTGATTGTTGCCGTCACTCTTGTCTAAGTTGGAAAAGAAAAGATATTATGATTTTAGTGAATTTTTGTGTGCGATTTTTATTCCTTTTTCATAATTAGGCATGTTTGCATATGATTTCCTTTTTGAACGTGATCCAAGTAGTTGTGCAGGACATATTCATGGATAAAATCTGATTTCCTTCCTAAATTTCAAAATAATGTGAGCCGTTATTGATGTGGGAAGTTATGGTATGTTTGATTTTGGATTGTTGGAGGGATTAATTACACTAACTATTTTTGAATTTTCTCTCTCTCTCTCTCTCTCTCTCCTAAAACCGCTCTCATTACCACCTTGATTTTCGGAACCTACCTTTTTGCGGTTTTCTAAGATCCAACGTCTCTCAACTGCTCTTCTCACACGATTCTCTTTATTTTATTCCAGTTTATTGGTTCTTTCTTTTCTCTCTCTCTCCCTTGTTCATTCTCTCCGATTGAAACCCTAAATTCTCCTCTCTCAATTCTCGTTCTTCTCCCATGGCTGGCGGCAAAGACAAAGCCAAGCGACGACTCCAGAAGCAGAAAGAGAAGCGACTTAAGCGCCGCCGACTTTCCTTGTCCACTGGATCTGCACGTGAACCTTCGCCACCAGCAAAAGAACCGACCCCTGAATCTTCGCCTTCGTCAAAATCGGGTTCTCTAGCCTCTTCTCCGTCTGGTTCTCAGTCAAAGTCTGACACTGTCCGCAAGAATCTTGAAATCTCACCACTGGCCACTGGAGTTCCAGGACTTTCTGGACGTGTTGACTCACTAGCCGTCTCAACTCAGGGGGAGTCATCTGCTGTTCCCACTTCTGCAACTAAGTCGGTCACCAAGACGACTACTACTGAAAGGGAAAAAGATGATACGACGGCTACCACCGTTGAAGTCCATTCTGACCAGCCATCCCACCTTCAAAGGTTCCAGTTCGTCGTTCCAACCCGCCGTCGTGGGAAGGCCATCGACGAGCCCCTTGTCCCTCCTGAACCTGAAGATGATGCATATGACCTGGAGAATACCTTCACCAATCGGTTCTATACAGAAGCAGCTCACGAACGCTTTATTAATTTTGGGTCTTATGAGTTCTGGTCGGAACATCCTGTGACTGATGGTAAGTTTGCTGAACTCGGTGTTCTTCGTCTGATTGAGCAAGTGGGTCTTTCGAAGACCGTGTCTGATGTAAAGCCCTTTTGTGGCCAAGCTGTCAAAGAATTCTATGCTAACCTCACTCCTGCTGTCTTTGACCCTAATAGCCCTCGCTTTCATAAACTTTTTCTTCGCAACCGTGTGATTGATGTGTCTCCTGCTTTGTTTAATGCCCATCTTGGTTTGCCCTCTGATCTTGATAGCTCTTCTCTTGTTGACCTTGATTCGGATGAAATGACCAAAGTTCTCACTTCTGGTAGTTGGATACTTGGCCTGGTTCTAACCTTTCTGTAAATTCTCTTTGCTTGGTTGCCAATCTGCTGCATAAAATTGGTGCTGGGAACTGGACCCCCACTTCAAATAAAACCCTGCTGACCGAGTTGCAATGCAAAGTCATTTATTGGGTCATGATTGGGAAAGTTTTCAGCTTTGGGGATCTTGTCTTTCAAATCCTTCAATCCTTTGTTGCTAACAATGAGTCTCGAAAAACTCTTCCCTTTCCTTGTCTTATTTGGTCCTTCTTGTCGGCTCATACTTTTTCTGTCAACCTTCGCTTCCAAGACTCTCTTGAGAACCCCAGGAAAGCACTCTCTGTTAGTGCTCGCACTTTGAATGAAAAAGGGATTTCCAAGGTCTCGAAGGAACTTGCTCCTTCCTTGGTCCCTAAAAATTGGGGTGAGTTTGTGGCTCAGCAACTTGGAGAATGGGATGATTTGGCCAAGAAGGTTGCTGCTCAACAGAGTTATCTTCGCCAAGTGCTGCAGGCTGTCAAGGGATCAGCTAGGAACTCGGGGACAGGCCCTTCGGCATCCCGTAGTTCGAAAAAGGGGGAGAAGGTTTCTGCTGCTGGTAAGAGCGTTGAGAAAGAGGATGAGGAGTCTGATGATGCCACTGAAAAGCTTGAAGATGAGGAGTAGTTAGCTTGGAGTAGTTTGTTTTTTGTTCCTTTGTGTGTTTTGAGGGTTGTAGGGAAACTTGTTATTTGCTGTTGGTTGTTTGCTGGTTGTTACTAAGTTTGTTTTATGGGAATTAATGCAGTTGTTTTGTTGTCCTTACTGTTTTGGTTAAAATGAATTTAGAAGCATTCTATTGAATTTTGATGACTGCAGGAACTAAGGGGGAGAACTGCTTTAAGGAGATCTTGTGATGTATTGATCTAATCCTTGCTTGAGTTTATCTGTGGTTGCTTGTTGTTTTTATTGCTGTAGGAGACTTTCAAGTCTGATGTTTTCGAACTAGATGCCAAAGGGGGAGATTGAAAGATATTTTATTTTGGCATTAGTTCGATAGTTCGAACAAGCACCTGGAACCACAGAATAAAAAGGGAAGATCTTTACATATTATATTTTCTTAAGTAATATTGTTTTATATTCCGTATGTAAGTCCATGTAGATCTTATTACGGTTTTTATATGACAGGTAATTGCACGAGGAGAGATAAAGAAGAAGGAGAAAAGAGACATGTTTGGAGAGGAGATTAATGAGAGAGAAGAAAAGATTTCTTACCAAAGATATGCCATTATCTTGGAAGGAAATCTTGTTTGAAGTCCTATGACTTGTAGAAGACTCCAACCCTAAGGAGATCATATAAATACCCTAGAAGAAGCTTATGGCGGCCGTGGATTTTCACAGAGAATTATTCGAGAGCCATACTAGCTTTATTCGCTTTCAGTTCTAGTTTGATTGTATTCAGTTCAGTCTGAGAGTTCTTACAAACTCAAGGACTAGTACTGCTTTTCGTTTAGTTCTTTATACATTTCATCAAAACTATTTTACGGTTTGTACACTTAGGGAATAAGTGTAGGTTTATAAGTCCACGGGACGTGGCCGGAGAATTAGTTGATAGGATCAAGTAATGTTGGCTAGATTTGAAGGGAGTTCGAATCTCTGTAAGTCCAAACTATGTATACGAGTGATCTATCAATGAAAGAGCTCTGAGGGGAAGTGGGACGCTTCCCTGAAGAGTTTATTAACCTTCGGTTATTTGCTTCCGCATTTTACAATTCTTACTGTAGTTCGTACTAATATTCGCGCACTCCGTGACAAATATAAGTTTCAGTTTCCAATCAGAGACGCCACTACAGGACCAAGTTATAATAGTAAGAATCATAATATTCAATCTCAGTTTCCTTTTTGTTTGTTTGTTTGTGTTAAAGAAGGGATGGTGTTTATACAATAACGGTTGTTGTTTGTGANNNNTGGTTTGTTGTGTACTTGTGTAATTATGTAGTTGCTGGAGAATAATTTTCTTCTTCTATGAACTTCTTTTAGTTCTCAAATTTCCTTTTCCACTATAGGACCAATCAGATCTTGGAATTTCTTTTAGGGGGTCCGATTTTAAATGTTAAATAATGAACTTGTAATTTAAGTCAAAACATCCATTTCATATAAAAATATATTTATTATAAATATAAATATCGAAATGTGCATCATCAAGTTTTTAAAAACTTAGAATCTATATCACCCTCAAACTTGAAAAAAAATGAAAATAAACTTATGACAGTTTAATTTTATATTCAATAAGCAACACACCTATATTTTTTTTGAAACAATAAATTTTATTGATAGAAAAACACATAAATACAATTAGATACTAACTAGAATAAATCAAACAGCTATCTAGTTGAATCTAAGGAGACTACCCTGCGGCAGGCGTCTAGAGACTACTCTAACTCACCCACAATCTCACCCACAAGACACACAACTAAACTAAACAAATCCCACCAGGAATAATTCAACAAATCCCACAAGGGATAATATTTCTTAAATAAAAAAATATTTTATTAAATAAAAAAAATTTCTTAAATAAAAAAAAAAAAATTCTTAAATATTTCACCCACAAGACGCACCTATATTTCTTGAATAAAAAAAAAATATTGGAATCGACTAGCTGTCCAAAATTCTATTTTATTTCAAAGAAAATTGTTTTGAGGTAAATTAGTTATTCACATGTAATGACAAAACAAATGGCATTAATCAATTTGGAAGAGATGAACTTTTTTGGGTTGATCGATCTAGCAAGACATGTCCCACATAAAAATAATAGCTGATTATGTACATACATAATAAGTGCTTGAATTTGAGCAGTAAAATATTAATTATCAAATATAAGAAGGAAATATAGGTTACAAGTTAAGAGAAGAAGTCGTAATTTGACAGCTTGGGATGCGCGTGGTAAGACCATTAACTTGGTTGGAGAGAGAGAAAAAGCCAAAAGTCTTTAATCTGGCTAAAGACAAATAATTTTTGGGTTTGATCAGTATATATATATTATACGTATACTGTGATTGGATCCATTAATCTAAAAAGAGAGAGTATGGAGAAATTAGAAGGTGCACAGGAGATTGGGAGCTCCTGCAGCAGGTCTTTCAGGCTGCGAAGCCCCAGCCTGAACAAAGTTCGGCTTCGGAGGATATTTGACTTGTTTGACAAGAACAAAGACTCCATCCTTACCATAGACGAGCTCAGCCACGCGCTAGCCGTCCTCGGCCTCCAAACGGATGTTGAGCCGATGGTGCAGCCTTATATCCAATCAGGTAAACACGGCCTTACCTACCAAGACTTTGAGGCTCTCCACTCATCCCTAAATCGTGCCTTCTTCCCCGAATTAGAATTAGACGATGCTGCTCATAACAACAACTCTGAGTCTGAGTCTGATCTTTGTGAGGCATTCAAGGTGTTTGATGAAGATGGTGATGGGTTCATATCCGCAAGGGAGCTACAAGCTGTGTTGGCCAAGTTGGGGTTATTGGCCGACCCTCGCGTAGGATCGGTTGAGCTCATGATTTCTTCAGTCGATCAGAATCACGATGGCCTTGTCGACTTATTTGAGTTCAAGGATATGATGCGCAATCTTATTATTTAATGATCGATCATACGTATGTATCGTATGTGTGTCTGTGTGTGTGTTTATGCCTCTCTCTTGTAATAATATGTTAGTCAACACGTGTTTCTCCCTTTCTCTATGTGATCGATCGGTTTAAATTAACTATTCTACTCGATCGCTCTTTCTTACTTTTTAATCAACAGCTTTATGATGCATATCACTTACTGCATAATTACTTGCATATATATATTATATATAAAACTATATAACTCTAGCTTCAATAAGTAACAAGTCAATTCGTCTTGTCTGCTTCACACGAAGCCAACATTAAATTTCAACAATGGGGAATGGTATAGACTGAATCAACTACAAAACTGCTCACTAAATTCGCCTCAGACTATTTTTCTCAATGTCACACCCCAAGACATGACTACTGATATATAATCACACAAGTTTGGTACAAAGTATATATCTACACAACACTTGGTTGCCGATCGAGCTTTGATAAAACTTGCCCATCTTAGCTTAGTCTTCTGCATGCTCGTGGATCAATCGCTCTATTCTTTCAGTTATTCTAAGTCTTCTGTTGATCTGAAGTTTGTGCGACTTATATTATAACATAACACATATAAGTCGCACAATTAACATGTGTCATACTAAAATGTATAATAACATATACTCCCTCATATTTTTATTATTTGTCACTTTGACTTAATTGATCATTGATAAAATAAATGTATATTTTGTTCATATTTTTTCATTTTTAACCGCCCATCTAATACACAGTGTCTCTTCATATCTCATCTCCATTGTTTCCCATAACGTCCATTAAATATGGTTAATATTGTTAAGAAAAAAATATTAATTAGTGTGTTGCATTTTAATTGATATTATGAAGTTCGTTTGTATTTTACTATATATATATATATATATATATATATATAAATACAAAACAGTTGTATATATCTTTATAAATAAAATTTAAATTTATTTATCAAACTAAATTAAAATATATCAAATAAAACTATAAATTATACTATAAAGTAATAGAAATTGTTTTGTATTCTTTTAAAAACGATATTTATTTCAAATCTAATTGGTATGTTGTCAATGTAATAAAAATAAATAATTATTTATCTAAATTCTAAAATTACATATAAAGTTAAAAAACTGTGAAACACGACTGATACGACACTTGATGCATTAGGCATCTAATTAAGTAAAAAAATTAATTTATTTTGCTTAATATTAAATAAACATATTCTACAATTATGCATAATAATATCACCATATTATTTCTATTTTTTTAAGATATATATTTTTGGACTTATGAATAGTAAATAATATCGATATTCTTATATGATATAAGTAAAAAAAAATTCAACAGGGGTTGACATTTTCATTTAATGTACGGGTGTTTAATTATTATGATTAAAAAAATATAATTTGACAATTTAATTAAAACCCAAAGTAATGTTTTATATAAAATTAAATTATTTTAATTTTTAAATAAATAAAAAATTTAATATTTTTTACAAACTTTCTAATTCAACACCCGTGTAATACACGAGTATTGTACTAGTTGTATAATTAAAGAAAAAAGTGACGATAGTCCTGTTGACCACCGACTTGGTAATTCACAGTTTATTTCGAAGTAAGTCAGGATACGAATAAGGCAATCGTAAACGACGCGGTTTAAGATAATGATAAGGACGCCGACTGACTCCGAAAACGTTTCTCGTTCACAAGAGATACACGACCTCGGACTTATGTCTACTTACCGACGTAACAAGCTATCAAGACCCACTCTCCAAACCCTTTCTGACTTCAGACGGCCACCGACTTCCGTGAAACTCACTACCGACACCACGCTCCACCTCGGAAGAAACCGAGCTCGCCGAAACTGAAGCAGGTGACAAGGCGCCTATGCGACATCCTTACGTCTCGTGCCCAACGTCATGATCGTCGTGGACCCCATTGATCAAACCACCCATCTAAAGCCACTTTTTGCACATTTGCACAATCCCTAAATGATTGGAGATCTTGACCAATGTGTACGAATAAAGTTACTATATATAGTCTGAAATTCCCTCAGTAAGGGGGGGGGGGGTTTGTACTACGTTTACTGCGGTCAAGCATACACCGATCAATAACCGATTAATAAAATTTCCTATTATCGTTATTTACTGCTTTAATCTATGGCATATACCTGGTAATGATGTTGTTACAAATCCATACGACAACAAGTCCAAAGTCGAAACCCAGTTGTCACGACACCATGGCATTGCCACCTTCATCATCACTAAACATATACTGACTCTGATACTCCATGAGATACTGTGTGGACCTTTTCACTGAAATTTTCATCTGCATTATATATCTGACACAAAAGTATTATTTTATATTTTTTTTTGTTTTAGTATATTGAAATTACTGTATTTTATTATTATCTTTTTTAAAGTTTACTTGTAAAATAAAGTACATGATATACATAGTAAATGATGATTCCATGGATAGCATTTCCAGTTGTCCAGTTGACGTTTGAGTTGATGTTTAACTGATCTATCTTCTCTGTAGTTGTCTGTCTTTAAGAACAATCTTTACTATGATCTCGAAACTAGTTTGATTTTGGTCTTAGCCTCTGTAGTCTGTACTCTGGCATCAAACTTGGTTAAGTGTTATTCATAAATTGGGTTTGCAATTAGAGCTGTCAAAATGGGCTTAGGCCGGCCCCGCACCGCCAAAGGGGCAGGTTGGGACAAGTTTTTTGTAGGCCCGCTGGGGAACGGGCCTAGACGAGTTAGCCCGCGCGGGCCGCGGGCCAAGGCGGGGCGGGGAGGGCAAACTACCGAGCTGGCCTGTAATTTATTAAAAAAAATATATATATATAAAAGGTGCAAATATCCATTCCAACTTCTCATTTTGCGCCTCCACTCTCTACACCAAACCATAATCACCCAACTTCCCCCCACTTTACCAATTTTTGCACCAAGCATTAATCTCCCAACTTCTCCCACTTTACCAATTTCCAGCATGTGTAATAGTGAATTTTAGGATTTACAACTTATTTTGTCATGGAAAATTACTAATCGACAAGAAATCGTTGTAAGGAGACTGGCAAGATCAGTCATCCTACAAAGGACAGGCAGAGTTCTACCGACACTACTCCAAGGCACTCATCCTCTTGGCTGCCATCTCCCTCGTCTTCCTCTAAAGTCCAAACCATCCACCTCAACTTCGATAGCGACCGTCCGGCTCCGGCTGACGATCTCCGTGTTTTCTACCACTTTACCTACATCTCCATCAGCCTCGTCGACTTCCTCATGCCCCGAATCATCCCCCAAAATAGCGTCTTCTTCACCCGAACGGAATACCAACACCATTCATTTTTATTCTTCATTTCTCTCTTCTTGCAATTCTATGTCACAGAACGATTCAAGTTCTCAAATCGCCCAAATCGCGTGTATTCTAGATTTGTATAAATGGAAGGTGTTATTTTATTAAAAAAAAAAATACTAGCTGGGCTGGCCTGCCAAACCCGCGGCCCGAGGTGGGGCGGGTTGGGCCTGCATTTCGTAGGCCCGCCCAACCCCGTTGGCCTGTTTTGATAGCTTTATTTGCAATATGCATTTGTATTGATTCTGCCAATGAAGTGCTAATAACCTTATTGCGTATTGACCATGTAGTTTGTTTTTGTGTTAGTTAATTGTACAAAAGAATCATGATATTTGGTGTTGGTAACGGTGAAAAGGGAACCAAGTACAATGATTTAGTGTTGATGACGATGTTGATAATTTTAACCTTATGCGAATAAAAACATCGCTTTATCCCAGGAGCATTCATATCGAATAATTGAAAATCAAACCGAATAAAAGCGGAAGCGTACCTAACTTCATTGAATTGAAAATTCATCTGTTCTTTGTTCTTCAGTTCCATGTGGATATCTACTTCCAAACGATCTTGTTGGACTGGTATGGTCTCCAAACGATCGAAACCTTATAGCAGATTTTTATCCATAGTGTTTGTATTGGTATATATCTTTTGTATATTCTATCATTCTGAAGTGAGAAAGTGAGTGCTTTTAAAGGGAGAAAGCACCCCTTCATAAATCTGCTCGTATCTTTTCGTCGTTTGGGGCCATAACCAAATAAATAAGAAATATTGATTTTCAGTTCGGTCCCTCAACAAACAGAAAATCACATAATGGTATCTACACTTTTAAATCCATAATAATTTGATACTCTCTTCATTCAAAATTACAAATTAGTAGATCACTTTAATTGAATAATATTATGACAACTATACACATTTAATTTACATATGTTGTCCAATAAAATATTTCTAACA